AGCACTTGGGGACAGGAGCTTAGCAGAGGATGATGTCAGCGCCAATACACCCCCCCACCCCAATCACCCAGGCTGCTGGCAAGGGCAAGGAGAAACCAGGACTGCAGACTCCTGCAGTGAGGAATAAATGAATAAAGCCAGCCGCACACGGCTGTGGAGATCAATCCCAGCCCCAGCCTGGGTCCCCTGGGACCAGAGCTGAAGGGAGACACTTAGCTGGTTGCAGAGGCAGAGATCCCAGCAGAGAAGACACAGGCCCAACCAGCCTGGGAGGTCAACACCCAGCACCCCAGCTGCCGGGGGCCACCTGCTAGGGGCAGAGCAAACCTGACCACCAGCCAGCCTGTTCCCCAGATTCCTGGGCAGGCCTCCAGATCTGTTGGGACCCAACCTAGGAAACTGAGGCTCTCTTCCTGCCTCGCTACCATGTCCCTGTGTGATCTCAGACCCATCCCTTCACCTCCTCGGTCCTAGCCACTGTTGTGGGGCAGAGGAGAGCTGGGGAGGTGTGGCTGGTGGGATCCCAGTGCCTGGAAGACCACGTACATCCTGTTTATGGCAAGCAACTGGCTGTTCTCAGAGCCCCCGGGACTGGGGCGGAGCAGGGAGGGCAGAGCGCCAGGCTGCAGGAAGCTATATAAGGATTGCAGAATGCGCTCTCCCGGATTTGGAGAGGGATCTGAAGCTGGGGCGTGGTCCAGCTGGCACAAATTCCCCAGGCATCTTTGCAGGCAGTGAGGAGGACAGAGATGTTAGGTAGGGAGGGGAGCAGGGATCACAGCAGGAGCCGCTGATTGTCCCCAAAGCTGCTAAGGGAACCAGCCTATGCCTCCCCTGGGCTGGGTGCTGGGAGCCAAAACTCATAGAAACCTCCCTTCTGGGTGCTGCTCTGCTCTCTGGCTTCCTTGCTCTCCTCCCCCTGCTTGTGGGGCTCAGGGCCATGAAGGACAGAAGCCTGGTGACATGAAGGTGTTAGCAGAGGCATGATCTCCGAGTGGGGCATCTTTCTGAATCTGGGACTCCCTCTTCAGCTGCTCCACCAGGCAGTTCCTGCATCCTAGTGCCTCTGCCAACACCCTTGGCAGAAATACGGGTCAAGGGCCTGCAGACCAGGCCTCTAGCCATTAATGAGGGAGATCCATCACACAGGAGAGTCTGCGTGCATCTTTAGAGATGGGTGAGAGGACCCTAGCCTGCCCTGGCGATGAGAACATACCTCCATCATCCAGTCTAAAGCAGGCCCTTTGCCCACATGGCAAGGAGACGGCTTTCTCACTTGGGCTCCCTGCACTATGGACTCCAATGCCTGCCTGACCTTGGGGAGAAAAGAAGTTTCTGCAAAGAGACCCGTCAAGCTAGATCCTTAAGAGAAAGGCTGACTTTGCTTTGCTTGAGAGAAGACCAAGAGCAAAGCAGTCTGGCCTGGCCAGGGGCTGGGTCACGTCTGACTGCCCCCCACAATCCCCAGCAAGCGGCCTTTCCCAGATGCAGTGTCTGCTCTCCCAACTCCTGCTGCCTGACTCTGACTGACAGTCTATCCAAGGAGCAAAGCCCAGCACAGCTCCAGGGATACAAGGCCTTGCCCTTCCTGGGAGCAAGGATCTTGCCTCCACTGCCTAAGCAGAGAACCAGGGAAAGCTCTATCCTGATAAAGCATCAGCCTCACCACCCTCTTCCTCTTCCTGGGGGAGACTGGCTCCGTAATGCCAACTCTCATGAAAAAAATCATGAAACTCCTGATTTTCAAGTCAAATTAACCCTGACTCATGATCTCCTGACAGAGAGATCAAATCTCAGGAATGTTTTCTTCTGGCACGTGTAGAGGGGGCCGAACTGGAAAGTCCATGGAGGGAAAGGGGCAGGGGGAGAGGGGGCAGATTGAGGCACCACAGTGAGGGAGGGAGTGGGGCAGGGACTGGGGTGAGTCATCCAAGAGCCATGGGCGACTGTCTGTGTGCACATGTGTCCATGTGTTTGCCCCTCACTCCAAAACCAGAACCCACCCCCAGCCCTGCTGCTGCCCCTCACATCTGACCCACAGTACCATGCACCTTGCCAGGGTGTGCAGGGACCTCCCTCCCCAAACCCTGCACACACACATACAGACCCCCCCCCCCCCCACCACAACACCAAACAACAACCCCACACACACACACACACACACACACTTCAGAAAATAGCATCTCTTGATTTTTGTCTCATGACTTTTGGCACAGTGGGGCTGGCAATACTGCAGCTGGTGATGCCACAGCCCACCTCTGCCATCTCCCTTGCTTATAGCACCAGTACAGTAGGTCTCTTGGCCATCGTGCTGCCTTGTTAGCTCATGTCCTTTTCTAGGTCACCTCTATCTTGCCTTGCCTTCCCTGCCACAGCATGTCAGCCCAGCGAGCCTTGAGAGCACCCCACGAGCCTGATCCATCAGTGCTTGTCACCAGCAAATGTATCCTGCTGGGAACCCTTCCTCTCCCAGCTGCTGGGAAAGACACTGAATGAAGCAGAGCCGAGAACAGGGAAGCCTGCTACACGCCACCTTGTTGCCTTCGGGCTCCCCCATTTCCATTCCAGTCTGAGATCCAGCAGCTGGGCCTCAGGCCTGTGAGCTGGGTAGCCACCCAGGAAGAAGCATACTAGCTTATAACTCCCATGCAAGGCATCATGGCAAGCCAGCTCACTGCAACAGGCAGCATTGGGGGAGTACATCCTGTACCTGCTAAGAGCTAACGCAGTGACTCACTATATTATGTCAGGCCACCAGTGCAGAAATGGGCATAGATAAGCACTTGCCTGTAGGAGTGGGCACAAGGAAGCTACCAGGCCATGTTGGGGAGTCCTAAGCACTGCATACCCCTTGTGGCTCCATGGGGGGGGGGGGGGGGTCACTACCTCCCTTTTTAGTCTGCTTCCAGAAGTTCACTCTGAATCACAATTAACACATCAGAGAAGGCAAATGGCGAGGGGGTTTCACAGGAGCTGAGATGCATAGGCCAGCCATCATGCCCCATGCTAATAAGGGGCATAGGCTGTGATTCAGTTTCCCTGCTCCACTGGCCAGGAACTCATTCTCTGCAAGAAATGGATGGGAAAACAGACATCAAAGCCAGGACTGCATCCAACTCCTGCACACCAATGTAGAAGGGCAGGAATCTGGAACTTGCCTCAAATGATGAGGATGAATTTGTTGGGACCCGAGTTCAGTAGCAAGGAGCCCTGTGGCTTCTCTGCTGTATGTAGCTGCTTTTGGAAATGTTGCCCGATGGCTAACATCCTGATACACCAGGGCCTAGTTCAGAGGACCTTGCTTTGGCTTCTCTTGTACTTATCCAGGTAAAATAAAAGCTGTGGTGTAACAGCAGGTCACAACCAGATCATTGATTTTGCCCCACTCAGACCCACAGACTAATACTGCCAAGATGGAGCTGATCTAAACAAAGACGGCAAGTTGAGCTGTAGCCAGCTTCTGCTCTTCCACCTAAAGCCTTCTTAAAGGCATTTGGATCCTCACAGCTGGGGCTACACCAGCTCCCCAAGTACGTGAGGGCCACAAACCAGACCAGGCCCAGTATGGGGGTGGGGGAGGAGGAGAATGAGTCTCTATAGTCACTGCTAACAGGGAACTTTCCTCACCACCTTTCAGGGGATAGTTAGGAAGGAAAACAGCATTTGGACTCAGCCCTCCTAGCTGTGGCCACTGATGCCCACACCCAGATCACTTCCCCAGTTCCTTTTTGAGTGCTTGCTTCTTTCTTCCCCCGACTGGTTTCACTTCTACAGGGAAAACAGGAAAACCCCTCCCAGGCAACAGTTGAGGGCCACACTTGAGCCAGAAATTGGGGGTCTTTTTGCCCATGAGCTCAGAACACTAGTTTCCCAAAGCTACAGATGACTATAGCAGGGGCCTGGCCAGCTTCCCTCTCAAGATGCACTCACTGGAGTTGAAGCCATCTCACCCCCCGGAGCAGCAAGTGGAAGCCAGCTGACCTACCTCAAATATTACACAGCCACTGCATGTAGGCTGAATTACCTCAATGTACTCACACAGGGGTACAAAACAAGCCAAGGAAAGCTGGACTGGACTCATGAGGCTATTTTCAACCTCCAAACAGGCTACTTTAAGTCCAGAGCTGCACGATCACAGCACCGTGGAGCCATTTTGAGCTACCGCCAGCAGATTTCTTCGAAAGCAGCAGTGTCAGACCTGAGTCAGTGTTGACACATGCCAAGAGCAACTGCCCTGGGGTTGGGATACAGCAAGCTGTTAGCAGGCATGCTGTTTACTTTGCAGGTATTAGCAGAGGGCTGGGCTATTGCCAGGGTTTTTAAGAGCCTTGTAGTTAAGCTACAGAGCATTAGGGTTTTTCTTCTTTAACATTTGGATTCAAAAGCCAAAGTAGTAAGATGAAAGCCTACACAGATCAATCCTGTCCACTTCTAGACCAATACTCTGCTGAGCTGAAGCAGCTTGGCCGATTAGGCAATTTTCATGGGTGATCATTTGTGTAATGAAGATTCTCAAGCTCACCTCTATCCCTCAGCTACTAGCTGGTCCAATAAGAGGCATCACCCACAGTATCCTTACTTCTCACATGGTTCCTGGACCATAGCAGCCCCAATACTACCCCAGGTAGTGGGGTAATGCATTTCAAACCTCCCAGAGGTGGGCACTGCCAAACTAGAGGCAGTGCTTCCAAGTGAGGTACTCTGTGCATCTACAGCACACTGCATACCTACAAGTGGAGACTGAGACTCTTCAAGTTGAGGCTGCTTATTCACTATTACTTATTATTTGCCCTGTGGTGGCCTTGAAAGCAGTGCCATTGAAGCCTGTCAGCTTCCTTGCTGCTGGCCTTTGTTTAAAAACAAAAAAAAACAAAAACAAAAAACCAACATTAAGGCTGTTAAGTCTCAGATACTGCTACCCTCCCACATCCAAGGGCTATAAAGTCAAAGAAGGTGCCCTCACACCCACTGGAAACTTGAAAACAAGTGTGAGACTCATATGTGGTTGAACTTGTTTTATTTCAAGTCATAATCATAAACTTAACTCTGAAGTCCAGCTGGACTCGTGACAGTAAAGGGAATGAAACCCAATAGAAATGCAGCAGTAATTCAGGAGCACAAGGATTACAAGAGGAGGTTGTGTCACCTGGGAAGAAGGGTGCCAGCCCAGGTTTCAGAAGGAATGGTTGGTTGGCTGGCAGGCTGGCTAAGACATGAATTATGACAGCTGCCCACAGTCAGCGATGGTGATCTTCTTGGCCGTCTTGCCGTTCTTGGAGCCATACTTCTCTATTTTTTCCACAAGAGGCATGCCATCTTTGACACGTCCGAAGACAACATGCTTACCGTCCAACCTAGGAGTGAGTAGAGGGATCGAGGTACCTGAATGAACCTGTCCAATGCAATCTAGGTATAACCTAAAGCCACCTAGTCTAAATGTCTGTTTGGCACAGCGAGCCAATACAGTCCACTCTTCCTGGTATGCTGAGAATTAAGGGATTATACACTTTCTTGGGTATCACTGTAGTGATATAGGCTTCAGTGAACTCTGAGTGCAAAGAACTCTAGAGCTATTCTGGTCTAAAAGGCTTATGTTCACTGATCAATTACAGAGCTGTGTTAATAACAGTTCTGTGGACAGGCAACCAAGCTATAGCAAAGCAGCAGCCTCTTATTGTACTGGTCCATCTCCCTGAGCTCCCCAGTCCTTACCAGTCAGTCTTGGCAGTGCAGATGAAAAACTGGGATCCATTTGTGTTGGGACCTGCATTTGCCATAGACAAGATGCCAGGGCCAGTGTGCTTCAGGACAAAATTCTCATCCTCAAACTTCTCCCCATAAATGGATTTGCCACCAGTTCCGTTATGCCGTGTGAAGTCACCGCCCTACAAGGAAGCACACTGTGGGTCAGACAGGACAAACCCACAAATCCCCAAGTCACAGGCCTCAGATCTACCCAAGAGCTGATCAGTCCAAAAGGGAGGGGAAGGCTGGTGGCAGAAAGCAAACCCACGCCCTTTATCATTGTTCTATGCTAGCTATGGCACAGAACAAACCTCAAGTGGGTCACTGAAGGCATATGGTACTTTAACCTAGTTCCTACCAATGCCTTATCAACTGTTTTTTATGGAATCTTCTACAAGGCCAACATTCAAGGCAAAAGCAAGCTGCCTACCTGGCACATGAAACCAGGAATGATTCTGTGAAAACAGGACCCCTTGTATCCAAATCCTTTCTCCCCAGTGCTCAGGGCACGGAAGTTCTCTGCCAATTAGAAGAGAAAGTAGTCAGACCTTGTGTCACCCGACCTCAGGGCAAACACACAATAAGCGTGTCACACACAGTCAATAAAATCAGCTTAACGAGACTGCATTGCAGTCTCATCTGGAGAGGGGATGTACAGACCTGCAGTCTTTGGAACCGTATCTCCGAACAGCTGAGAGAGAAGAAAAAAAAAAAAAAAAAAAAAAAAAAAAAGAGAGAGAGAAGGCAAGAGTCAGTTACATCTCAGCCTGAGAAGTGCTTGCCAATGCATGCATCAAGAAGCAAAAAGCTAGTGTGCAGATCACAGTTCAGTTACCATGTAACTGTCCCTGTCTGAACAAGGGTTTAGGTTTTTCATACTGTTACTTCATGCCTCAGCAACAGTGAGGCCTACATGCTTATTCCCAGGGTGGTGCACATGCATTTTAATGCAGCCTCTCCCAGAGGGATCAGTGTACATGCTGCAGAGGCAGGGGAAGAGCCAATGCTCCAGAGACATGTTTTAAGATGAGCACTCCACTGCATGGATTTACAGGTTTACAATTAAATTAAAAGGTCTGATTTCAGGCCATCCAGGCAGCAGACAAGTCAAGACAACTGCCTCCCTCTCCCCCCCCACCCCAAAACAACCCCCCCCCAAAAAAACAAAACAAAAAACCCTTCCCCTCAAAAGGTAGCCTTTACAACAGTAAAGCCTCTTCAACTGCAAGCTAGGATTATGTTAACATGCCTCAGTTCCTGTTTAGTAGGGTGCGAAATGCCTGTACAATGAAATCCCAGCTGACTAGATCATGTTCCAGACTTTGACCACCTGCCCCTGTTTAAGAGTAGAACCTTGCAGCCAGAAGGACCTGATGTGAGGGTTTCAATGTTCATTCATAAGATCTGATCTCCCCTTTCACACAGCTGATGCTTCTGTATGCCTTTTTTACCACAACCTTCTGCTAGAGAGAAAGACAGAGGAGTTTTCTACTCTGGAAGGCTAGAGTTGATGATCTTATTAGATGTTTCACAGACAAAATGGAGTCCCTCAGCAGAAGATGCACCACCCTGCTGGCCGCACAGCTCAGCTGTCTGAGCTTTACACCTGCTCACAAGGGCCTTCGGCTCCAGCATCAGTCAGTTGGATATTAAACTGGAAGATGCAGCTCAAGGGACTTCACCAGGGCTACTGGTCCCTCCAGGGGCAAGCCTTCCGCTTAAGAGGACAAAATTCATCTCAAGCGGGGGTCAGACTCCAAAGACTCAGGGAGCAGGGTTTTCTGCCTGGCAGCCATAACCAACATACCGCCCCCCCCCCCCCCCCCTCTTTAGGTACAGATAAAAACATCCTCTCTACAGCCTCACTGTTGTGGCAGGGACGTTTACTCTTTTGCCAAACCCCAAATTTGCCATGCACAAGATGCACACCCATAGACCCCAAATGAGATGCATCTGATGCATCTCTTCTATGCAAGGGCTTTTATTCTTCCCCTTTCAATCAGATGGGGAAAATGAAGTCACAGGACAGCAGATGTGTATTTATCTTTGGGATTAAAGCTAATCTAGCCCGTGAATCATGTCTCACAAAAGGGATCCTCTCTATAGAATCTCTCTGGCTGCAACAGCATTGTTTCCTCCAACAGTTCTGCTTTATGGCCCCAGACCATCTGTTTTCTGCCAGGGATTCTGCTTTAAGACATAGCAAATCTCTTTAAAATGCAACTTAATCCAAGATAGAAGCAACACAGACTGGGGTGACAGGAAAGTTTCTGCATGGGACTCGCAGGCATCTTGAGGAGAGAATCCTGCCAGCAAGTGGCACTTTGCAACCCAGGCCCCCCAGCAGGGGCCCAACAGGCGGTGGCTGCACATGGCCACACATTCCAGTCATGCCTCTGCCAGGCATGTGCAGCCCGAGGCTTCAACAGGTCTGGAGCACAAATAAAAGCCTGGGTGCTCCTGCTTGGAGGAAGGCTTAACTGTGCACAGCCTACCCCTGGTGCCAGGAAAGGGAAGGGGGGGGGGGGGGGGGGGGGAGAAGAGTAGAGGTGCATGGCTACAAGGGCGAGTTGGATCCTGCCTATCATAAGTGTTCCCCTCCCCACCAAAGCCATCCTCAGCCCCCTCCCTCCCAGGCAGGATCAACACTGAGTCAGGAGAGATACAGGATCCCTCTACAGAGGACCTCAGGGGTGTGAAGCAGTAGCAAAGCCAAGGAGAGGGCGGGTGAGGGGGGCAAAGAAATATGCTGAAGACATGCAAGGCACCCAGAGCACAAGAGGCTCGAAATCCGTAGCACAAAACCACAGCCTGGGCTGGGGCGATACACTGGAGATCCTCTACAGCAATGCAATGCAACTGGGGGCCTAGGCAACGGGAGCGCCATGCGGGATGCCACACCCAGGGGTGGGAAGACGCGCTGCAGATCCACCATGCAGTGGTGTATAAGTAATGTTATATGGGGCCCCACGCCCCACAAGGGGTGCGATCTCGGGACCCCACGGCCCAGCCACGTGGGGCCGCTCCCGCGCCCCGTTCCCGCCTTCCGGCTGCGCGCGCAGCG